TTTTTATTGCAAGCATTCATTTAAATGATACAGTATGTGATGCTGTGAATTAAATACGTCCTAAAGAGACTGGTATGAAAATCACCTCCACTAGGTCGGATGCTCTTTGGAGAGTTGGTGTGGACTTGATGGGCCAAATGGCCGGCTTCCACACTGTAGGGATTCTATAGGAAAGATGTTGTTAAACATGAAAGGATTTACAAGGATGTTGCCAGGATTGGAGTGTTTGACCTCGCGGGAAGAGACTGAATAGGCTGGGACTACCTTCCCTGGAGCATCAGAGGCTGAGGGGTGACCTAATAGAGGCTTATAAAATCATGAGGAGCATGGATAGGGTGAATAGTCAAGGTCTTTTCCCCAGAGTAATTGAGAGGGGAAGGATATGAGGGGCCCAAGGAACAACTTTTCAGAGTGGTGTGTGTATGGAATGATCTGCCAAAGGAGGCGGTTACAAATACAACACTAAAAAGACATCTGGATGTGTATACGAATAGGAAGGGTTTAGAGAGATATAGGTCACATGCTGGCAAATGGGATTAAATCAGAATAGGATATCTGGTCGGCACGGACGAATTGGACAGTAGGGTCTGTCTCCATGCTGTATAACTCTAACTCTGAGTCCCTCTAAGAGCTCCAACAGCATTCTGGTGTCTGGGGGAATACTAAACATGTTGCTTTTTTGCAGCACTAACCGCAAAATTAAATGTCTAATGTGAATGATTAGGGTGGTTGTTCAAGGAGGGCTAGTTCGGTGGTGATTGGGAGGTTGGTGGGGGGACACTGGTGCCAGTTGGTTGGTCAGGGGTTAGCCTGCCTGTTTTTTTAACTGGAGTTGATACATGGGATTGACTTCCTGAGTCAATGACTCTGTATTCAAGGAGCAGGAGGAAACTGAATACAAATATCATCATTGGCAGTTTTGAGAGTTTTAAAGCACAATATCTGGTATTAGAAATGATTTAGAATTCTGTCCCTCAATTTCCCATATTTCTCCAAATCTGAGCAGGATGTATGTGGAAACATCCTGGTGACTCTGAATCATTTCCAAAACTAAATTCAATGAAGAGCAAGTTTTGACTTGATAAATATTTACATGGTTTGCATGTGAATGCATTTAACTGTACAATTAAATCTGACTTCAGAAAGCACCTGTTGAAAGCTAGGTATCCAGAAATTAACCAGTTCCAAAATCATCTTGCCATATTCTTTGAAATATTTGCTCCACCTTCTGTGTGCAGATTCTTACAAGGACCTGACCCGATGCTGTGAAGGAGAAAGGTTTAAATGAAGAAGATCATTTTTATCATCAGCTATTTGCACATACATAAGTGACATTTTTTTTAAAAAAGCAAAATATCCCAAGTTGTCATGTGAAAGTTTTCGGCCCAAATTGATATCTAGTCATTAGGCTCACCCTAATATGAGGATAAAAGGGCAAGTCTGGAAGAAGGAGAAGCGTAGCAATGAACTTTCAGATGTAGTTTCTTTTGCATTGGACAGTGTGGTGAAAGGAATGGTAGTGCAGAATGCCATATTAATGACAAAGTTAACATTTCCTGGTTTGGTGACAAAGCAGGGGATTTCTTAGAAATTTACTTCTGTAATATCTGGAAAGACCAATAATGTGATCACAATATTGTATAGTTCTTTGCTTAATGAGGTGTTGAAACAGTCTTCTGTCATATCTGCATAGAGGACAGGTTTGCAGAACCCAGTACATTTTCACTTTAATTCTGCATTTGGCCTATAAAAATTTGTAGGTGGCAGGAAGTGAGTAATGGTGCAATTTAATCAAGGGATGCAGATGACGACATGAACCATGAGAAGAGAGTTATTAAACTCATTATAGCTATAATTTTATTATAAAGTGCTTGGTGAAATTGCGCTAATGGCATTTAAAAGCCGGTATTGAATTACACTGATGTCAGGCTTGCATTTTACGCAAGAGGTTATTGTGATGCCATCACTGCAGTAACTGCCCATAGACCAGTGCCAGGAAATAATTGTCCAAAATGTAACAATTAAAAGCCCAAGTCTGTCTGAATAAAACATGTAATTGCTCCATGAAATGTCCCTCTAATATTCCCTCCTTTATCCCTACATTTTTAACTCTTACAGAAATGTAGGTGTTAATTAATTCACCAAGCAAGGGCTAGTAATGATAATAGCTGAGCTTAGTCCTCCTGAGTAGACACTTACGAGCAGAAATACAAATGAGATTGGGACTCCTAATCATATATTCTTGTCCTTGTCTCTTTCCCTGATGGTCTAGTGTGCTGGGACACTGTTAGCGTTATCCATGGTTCTGGTCTGGTAATGTGGCCTGCTGAAAAATTGAACTTGGAATCCTGTTCCTCTTAATGACACAGGATAATTTTCAATTTGAATATTACGTATTTGGTTCACACCCAGATTATTTGTGGAAATGGCCCGTTACCACTTATTAAAAGCTAATTTGTTAATTGTTTGTCTAGTGCACACTTGTACATTCGGTTTGCTGCAGACAACATCTCCAAATTCAGCAGAAAACTGTCAACAAAGCAAGACTCCAGCAACTGGGGGTGGTATTCACCAAAAGAAGTAGATTTGACCTGTGTCTCGGACAGCAGAATAAATGACTCATTTTGAAGTACTGGCTGTAACGTAACAGATGTTTTTACAATTCCTTTGAATTGGCTCATAATGTATGACAGAATAAATGGAATATTTTCCACAGTGCTGTATTGCGCTTGTGAATCAAGCACCTTGACAGTGCTGAGAACTGCAAGCTGTTAGTTTATAATTCACTGCTGTCTTTATTAGGCATGGCCATTTCTGTTTCATGGAACAACGTAATTAATTGGGCAAGTGATCTTTCCATCAGAAACAACCAAAAAGAATCCTTTGAAATGATGATTCATGCTTCATGTAGAAATGTTGCTAGCAACAAATACATTAACTTGTTCTGATTTAACTTTGTAATTGGTTGTTTTTGATTTCTGATTTGTTCATCTGTCGTTGGCAGAGATCCATGAAAGATTAGTGATTTCACATTAACAATGCGATCCTGTGCAGTTCTACTGAAGTCACCACAACTTTGAAGCATGATACATTTCCCTATTGTTAAACAGAATTGATCTGGCAAAATTGAAAGTAACATGATTGATATCAACAAAATGCCTACATATTTATGATTTACAGTTCTGAATTTTTAAAGAAACTAAGCTTCAACTGCTCACTCCCGCTCAGCCCCTTTTAAATCCTCCTTGGTGATTATCAGTACAGTACACTGTTTGAATCCTATTTACAGGATATTTGACATGCATGACTATTAGAGGGTGTGGAAATGTGTTTTGGTTTGAGCTGACAACTTGGCCTTCAGTTCTGCTTCCTTGTGGACTGTCAGTGCCAGCATGTTGGAATGATCATCTGGAGCAATTGTTTCTATATTTTCAATTGAGGGTATTGAAAATTAATAACATTTAATTTTTTTGTGTGCCTCTTCCTATTTGTTTTTTCCCGATTGATTTCCTCCTCAGAAGACGTTGATTGCGTGGGTGTTACCAGTTTGTGTCTAGCCAATCTTACCTTTTTCTAAGGCCTGATATTGGTCAGAAAGCATTGACTTAGTAATGAGGTGTGAGTGTTTATGTGTGAGAGAGAGACAAACAGGTTTAACTATTGGTATTTCCCTTTTTTTTTTAAAATTTCTGGAGATAGGCTTTATATTATAGTTTTAAATGCAGATTATTCAAACAGCAAGAAAGGCTTGTATTCAATCATTTAAATTTTCATATTGTGTCTGGAGGTGGACCAAAGAAGCAATTGGTTCCCTCCCCACTGGGCAAGTCTGCAATTTCTTTCTAGTATCTGCTTCTAGCACCAGAAATAGGTTAGTGTTTGATCCCAATGACTACCATTCTATGGCATGTCTACTGTTTCACACTCAGCTGGTAAATGTTTATGATTCTGTTTTGTTGTTTATGGATCTGGTTCCTTAGTAAAGGCAACACTTGGATTCATTGCCTCATTTGGTAAATAAATCCTTGAATCAGAGTGCCAGGATTGGTCAGCTTTGGCAGCTGTCCATATGTAAATGAGTGGGAACATTTTTTAAAGAAGCCCAAGACTCCAGTGTATCTGCCTAACTCTAGAATTCTTCACCTTCTGTAAATATCAGCTCATTCAACATTCTCGTAAAACGAAAACAGTAGTGAGTTAGCCTCTCCCCATTTCTTTTCGGATAGAAAAGACTCCTTAGGGCTACATGTGGTTCATGTGGGCAGTTCTGTTTTAAGTTTTAAATCTAACTCTAGTAATCTTCTTTAATTATCCATGTCCTGCCCTGAAACATTTTAAGAATCTATCACTGCTGACCTGCATTGAGCCCTGTTCCTGATGTCTTAAAAATAACATTTTCATCCTTTTTTGTTTTAACATTAATTTTTAGAACTTTCTCTTCCACAATTCCAACCACCTATGCGCCACCTCAAAGAATCCCAATTCTTTTTTACTCTAGTTGTTGTTGTGTTTTTTTTTTGTAACCACATGTGTACGCATGGGCATATGCACACACACTTGGAGGAACTGCCTTTTGACAATGAGGGTCTTTCATTTCCTTCCTAAAACAGCCAACACTCATTGCACCTTTTAATAAGACTCTCTTCAAAACTAACTTCTTTAAAAACCCTCTGTCAATACTTCTGTGGCACTTGAAAGCATCTTTTCATGTAGGTTAGATGGGCTTCAGATTGGTTTCACAGGTCAGCGCAACATCGAGGGCTGAAGGGCCTGTACTGTGCTGTAATGTTCTGTTCTCTTATGTTAAATAAACTATATGAATTCAAATGAATGTGATTGTGATTGTTCCTGTTAGTCTTGGTACACTCTGACATTGTTTAACTGGTACAGCGAACAGGAGCATAATCACATGCAACTGATTTATTGTTTGAACAAGTTATCCCAAATCAATCATCTTTTATTTAAATTTTGTATGGATAAAATGATTTTCTGTCTTTTAGGCAAAGAGATGATTCAATCCCTCGTCAGCAGCCACGTGATCGTGAAAATCTGTCTACACAAACTGGACGACAGAAAACATCGCTCTCTGCTTGTAAGGCCTTAAGTAGTGATGATATTTTGATAAACAGAACCGAAGGTACACCCGTGATCCAAAGAAATGGAGTGCAACTAGATTCAAAGCAAAGGACTACGCAAACGAGAAGAAGAAGTGAGTCATCAGACCAGAGCGCAAGGTCTGAAAGGTCAGGCCAGTCCCTGGATACCCCACTGCCAAGCCACAGTATTACACGTGTATCTCGAGAGCCCAACAGGACACCAAACCAGAAGTCAACCGTGATAAAGAAGGGAAAGTCTCAAAACAGCAATACTATCCTGATCAGCCGAGGGAAAGATGGACAGCATTCCTGGGTTCATGCAGATGAATCCAAGAGTGGTAGTAAAGAAGCAAGTAAAAGGATTTCTGGAACCAAATCACCTGTCCCATCAGCCTTAAACTATTTGCATGCAACGCAGAAAGAGACCAAATGTCTAACTCCTTTAGTTTCCAAGGCGAAGACATCTATGACCTTAAAGAGATCATCTAGTCCTGTGCCTAAAATTTGTTCATCCAGGCAGCCAATGCTGTCATCTCGAACTGGCAGAAGCACTCAGCAGTCTTTGTGCTATGATGACAATCAGAATGTGTTAAGTGTTTGTGTAAATTCTCATGGCCACCAGTCTTCTGGCTGCAATGATACAAATGGGTGCCCTCCAAGCCCCCCCTCAGAGACTGAAGGCGAGGGGGAAATATTCAATGCGACCCAGGAATTCGATCCCAGTAAAGAACAAGAACAAGAACAAGAACTGTACAGGACCTTTGAGGAGGAATTTCTGGCAAATACAAAGCAAGTCCCGTTGGGGGATGATGATAGTGACACCTTTAAGATGTTTCTTGGTGCTACCACTGTCGAGCCAGTTCAAAAAGCAGAGCAGAAGGTGATCGATTCTGCATACTGCTCCACAACTTCTTCATCCACTACGTCTATAAGCACGATGAACAAACTGCAGGGTCACCTCAGAGAAGAGACAGAAAAAATCACACGCCCACTTTTCGGGTGCTTTTGTCATGACAGTAACTCGGTGGTAAGTGAGTTCCAAGAAGGATGTGGCCAGATGGACTTTGCAGACTGTGGTGGATGGCACAGAGGGTGTCCAAATGCATGTACAACATCTAATGTTCTAAAAACTATAGAGAATGTAAGGGAACCTATACTATCGAGCCCCTTGTCTGAAAAGACATTCTTTGTGATGCACCTCGGGGGACCAGCAGAACTGGAGAAGGAACCGAATGGGGATGACTCCACTGAAAGAAGCACTGAACATATGGACTGCAAGGCAGTGGACAGAATTCCCACCTTAAATGCAGAGGATGATCAAGGCCGTGAAAACAGCGAAGGGTCCTTCGTTGAGACATCCAGTGAGTCGTCTATTAATGTCCAGTTGAATTCCCATCACAAACACGGTGTTCAAATGAGGCCCAAGAAAGGGCTAAAGAAACCCGACCGAGTGCCTTCTGTCTACAAGCTGAAGCTGAGGCCCAAGATTCGGCCACGAACAGACAATCAACCAGAAAAGAGGCCCTCGAGAATCCCCACACCAGTCAGCTGCAAACCAGGGCTGAAGTCTCCTAGATCAGCTCCCAGTTCTCTACAGGACAGACGAAAACTAAAACACAAAATAATCCTACACCATGAAGATCTTCAGAGTTCTAGAGAGGAGCTTGTGCCTTCGCCCACAGAAACCAGAGAGGTGACTCCATCTGTAATTCTGGATAAAGGGTCCTGGGTTTAACTTCTCAAATGAATCCCTTGTTTACAGTTTAAAAATCCTAACTTTTCCTTTTGCACTTGTATCGATTTGAAATGAATGAAATGACTATAAGCATCTCAGGTTGAATGCAATACAGGAAGTTTAGAAACCCTAATCTCCCCATATATTTAGTGCTGACTGATGACCTGTGTGGGACTGAAAGAGATGGGAGGAGAAGTGAATTGATTGCTGGATGGGCTGCCTGGAGTCCCTTGATTGCCTGGCTCTGTTCATTGCAGGCAGGGATTATTGTTGCTATTGGTTCACAGCAATTGGACAGATTCTTTAGCATCTACTTTTTGAGTTTGTCCATCACCAGGGCTGTTGAGCTTTGGCTAGGGACATTGGGTCCTATCAATGGCCGAGGGTTGTGCCCCATGAATTCCTTTTTCGAAATGTAACGCCAAGCCTAACTTATAAATCTGGATGTATTTTGCTTGACTTCGAGGGGAATGGACTGAAACCAAACGGTCACTTGTTTACATTTCAAATGTGGTACATAAGCAACCCTCCCATCATTCGGAGGTCCCCAGAGAGACCAGCTCCTAGCCCAATGACGTTGCTTCTCTTGGTTTCTCTGAAAGAAGGTGTTTCATTGGTGGGGGGAGTGGTGGTAGTGTTGGAGGTGGAGAAAAAATAGGAGATGAAACCTCTTGCCTGCCACAGGTTTTATTGTCTAACTTTCTCCTTCAGTATGTAATGTAACTCATGGCTGGTCACCTTTCCTGTTTGTGCAGCAGGTTTGAGAATTCACTGTTTGCCCAAAAGATTTGCTCTCGTGGTATTTATTTTCAAACCTGAGATGTTCGCTTTTCCTTTGCTGCCAATCTGCAAGAGTCTGATTTGTGTGGCAGGACAGGAATATGGGAGCTTTTATAGTGAGGAACACAAACTGGAACTACCAAGTGTTCATACATTACCTGATCCTCGGAGTTAATAACTGACTGAAGGTTAGAAACCTTAAGTTATACCTAGGTGAGGAATTAACCATCTCAAAGAGACCAAGTGATCCCTGCCTCGCTGTGAGTGACCAGTTTGTTGCATCGTTTGCACATTTACCAAACTCTCTATCGAGCCAGTTTCACTTCATTGTACACTGGCGCCTGGCTCAATATCTGCAGAAAGTGGTGCTCTGTGTGAAAATGCTGCTGAAATAGAATTATTAACCAATTAATTATCATATCTAACTGGTGGTTAATCTTTGGAATGGGCTGAGTCATTTTTAACAAGGCTAATTTCTGTAAAGTAATGCTTTTAAAAGCAAGCACTTAATGATCCAGAATGCTTGAATGGAGGTGGTTTTTGAGCTGAATCTGCAATGTAGATAGGGAACTTGTGTGTTTGATTGAGAATGACTGACTGTGTACACTTTAACCCCTGGATTCGATGTGAATACAGTTCCTGCTCCAAGATTGGTGCCAAGCTGAGCGCTGCTGCTCTGGGGCAGAAACAGGAGACTCTGGGCAAGGAAGCGATATGGGACAGGGAGCCCTCCCAGCATGAGTGGGGGCTCTGGCCTGGAGGCTGTGAGAAGTCAGCATTCTCAATGAGACACTCCAATCAGACAGGTCAAATAAACACTTCAGGTTATTTCCCAAAGCAGGAGTCTGCCTACATTCTGGAGTATCTTTATCTCCCTGAAACTGACTTGAATAGTTGGTGTGTTATAGAGTGAAATCCCAAACTTTAAAATCACTTGCGTGTGTAGAGCTTGCACCTTTCTTAAAATTGAAGCACTTGTATTCACAGTTCTGTTTGGGTTGTCCCTCCATCTCGCCATTATTTCTAAACCCCACTTGTCCACAGATGGTGAATGAAACTTTTTAAATAGCCAGAACATTCAGGAAATGTAGCTGTTAGCACTCTACCTCCTGTTGATAACATCCTGGCGTTTAAGTTGTGATTTTTGATCTGTTAATTATTAATAAATACTGGCTTTGTCCTGTGTCTGCTGATACCTCTGTCCTCGTCAGGTTGAAGTAAGTGAGAAATGTTTTGGACAACACATTCACTCACTTCCAAATGACACCCACAGTACAGCAGGCCTCTGTTTAGTGAGGTTTTTGTATTCTTTTAGAACCTCTCACCCATTTCTCTCCATTTGGAATGTGATGCCACTTCTCATTCTTAGTTTCTGATTCTGTGTTTGAATTTACAATGTGAATTAATTATTTATGCAAAAACATTTGTGTCCCAACTTTTTGACTTGACTTGTAGAAGGGAATTCTGAGTAAACAGCCCGATTGCAGCCAGCACATTGACTGATGCCCATTCAATTTAAAATATTAGATTTTATTTGTAAAATTAAATTGTCTTGGTGGTATTATGTTTAATTTTGGAACCAGATGTAATGCTGCTTCTTGCAGGTACATTTGTTTGCACGGTGTTAAATATAAACTGTATTCACTCAATACAAAGCTGATTTTTTTTTGTGGAACATAGAGGTGGTGTCACATGTTTAAGGCGTTGGTTGTAGGGTATTTAATTTTCCTGGGTTTTTTTTGTTCCCTGCCATTAAAAGTATTTATTCAAGTGTAAAATATGCAGTTATTAACTATGCAATTACAGCTAGTGAAAATGTTTTAATGAACATATATCTTAAATGATTGCTCACCGGTTATTTAAATTCTGATTTGTAATGTGCAGGTAGAACACTATTCTGCTCAACATTTTAAAAAGTTTGCTGACACTAAGTACGTGTGCATTAATTGTGGTGCATTAAATCACAGTTAAAACCTAAAACACAACTAATTTCTTTCATAGAATTTGAACGCTGCAGGTGGATGTTTTGAGCCTGACGCATATCAAAAAATGTATTAGCACAGTGTTCATGGAAAAGTTAACTATTTAAGAAAATCTTACACAGATATTCAGAATTTAGCCTTCCTTGAGAATTCCCATATGAATTGTGTAAATGACAATTACATTCGTTTGAGTGGAATTACTTTTGGACCATTTCTAACACTAAGACACACAGGATATGTACATGGTATCCTGAAAGGCAGCTGGTGTCTGAACATGTCAACAGAACAGGTGCTTTTAAGAAGAGTAGTACTATAAGTAAAGCTTGGCAGATCCAGTTGCCAAGAGGTACTAATGAGCAGAATTGTGTGTAAGTGAGGAATTCACTGCTTTCCCCTGCTAATAGAGATGGTTATTCATGCAAGAATTTGGCCTTTCTGACTGTCCCTTTTATCCTAATTCTACTTTCTCTCTGTCAACTGCATTTTTTTTTTCATTTCCCCCAGCCCCAACTTTGTCTTTCTCCCCTGATTTTCAAGTGATGAGACCATTTTATTGTTTTGATTTCAAGACTTACAAGTGCAAAGTTAACCCTGAAACTGCTCTGAGCCTGTCACTTTAAGCAGGCTGTGACAGAATGTGTGTGCTATACTTTGCCTTGTTGGGTACCTCCACTTCAAAGGCTCAGGAACAGCCTGAGCCGGATGGGAGTGTGTAGACAAGAAAAGGTTATCTTTAAACAAATCCTGTGTGTATAAGTACATGATTTCCATAAAAGTTGTCAATGTCTTTAAGGTAAACAGGATTTGCTTGTAGCATGTTAAGCAAGAAACCTTCCTCGTTTGAATAGAGCATTTCTTTTGAATTATATTTGGTGCAAATGAGATTCTCTGGCCTGTAAGAGAGGAAATAAAATTCACAGGAACGGTGTGACCTGTTCAGAGGCCAAGCAGCTTAACTGTGGTTATTAATGGCATAATACAAGAATGACCTTGGAACTGTAAAAGCACTGATCACTTCTGTCCACTTTTAGTAGAAAATGGGATTTTATTTGGATCAACAGTAGTGATCAAAATGCTGCAACATTCTTGATAAGATCCTTAAACATATTGTGCAGTGCATATGTAAATATTGAGGCGTTACACAGTGCTGCAAAATGAATGCTTTGCCTCCCAGCCACCCTTGCCTTAAGATCATGCTTCTACTATTTAATTATGTAAAGGAGCATAGGAGAGATGTAATTTTTTGTTAGAGTTTGCAATGAACCGGGTGTTGATCTGTCCTGTTTGGAATGGAGCAAATAAGAATTAAATGTGAGACTGCAATCAAGTGATGTCATGGAAGAAAAGGAATATGTACCAAAGATCTGCAATATTTGTGAATTTTTAGTTTGTTTCAAAGTAAGATCACATGCATTGTATTATTTTAAAATAAAATGTAATAAAGTTTTTTTTTTAATAGAAACCGAATGTGGTTCCTGTCTGAAGCTATTTCTTATTTGTGAAGTGAATCTCTGGTAGTAACCATCTGTGATACTTTCCTTTACAGAAGTCCAGTTGATACTTTTAGAAATTTTGATCTTGGAAAGAGGGGGCAAAAAATTGATATTTTGGGCAAATGCCTACTTCAGGGCCTTGAGGAATCTGTTTTTACAAATAGTTGCTGTGGGTGTTCAGCATTTTCCGATTCTTAAATTTTATTTAATTTTCCCCTATTAAAATGATGGCGGTTGAATTCACACACTAATGTTAAGCTTCTAAATGAAAATCCTAGCTGTCTGTCAATCCACCTGATACCCTGAGCTGAAATTTTGTTTAGAATATTGATAAAGGTGTTTGGTGAACTGATTATAATTGGAGAATTCCACATGTCTCAATTTTTGTGGTCTTGCTATTGATTCTGGGTTATGTTACAAACCATGAGTTAGGAGCAGGAATAGGTCATTCAGCCTTTGGGACTATTTTGCCATTGAATAAAATCATGGCTGATTTAATTTTTCTTCTAACCTCAACTCTATTTCTTCCCAATGTGATGCCCTTTCACCCCATGCCTATCAAGAATCTAGCTATCTCAGCCTTTTTAAAACTATGGGCATCTCTTCTTTTTTAAACAGTGACCTTTTTAATACTAGATTCTTCTCTCCCCACACCCATCCAGGAAAAGAAATGGCAACTAACATTCCATATTAACAAGTTCCATTAGGATTTTTGTGTTTCATTCAACTTTTTTTTTTTCTCTTTCTTTCTTTCTTTCTAAACACCCATTGGATATGGGTTTAGCTTGTTCATCCTTTCCTCATAAGCCAATACTGTCCATTCAACACAGTACTCTCCTGAAATTTCCCTGAACTTCCTTCAGTATATTTACATGCTTCCTTTTTTAAATAGACCAATACCGTACATTGTACTCCAGGTGTGCTCACCAATACTTTGTATAACGGAAGCATAATCATCTATTTTTTGTATTCCATTCCTTCCTCAAATGGTAATGCTATTTGATTTCCTACTTAATTGCTGTATCTGCATATCAACAGGTTGTCAATTTGGGCAACCAGATCCAATTGCATCCCAGAACACTGCAATCTCGCCATTTAAGTTGCTGCCTTTTTATTCTTCCTGCCAAAATGAACAATTTCACAGTTTTCCACATTATACTTATTTACACATTGTATTACATTTATCAGATCTTTACCAATCACCAAACCGATCCATATCCTCTGTAGCCTCCTTGTGTCATCAGCAAATTTAGCAACCATATCTTCAGTCCCTTCATCCAAATCATTTGTGTAGATTTTAGAGTCCATACCCCAGGTCTGATTGTTCTAGCGCACTACATGTTGCCTCTTGCTAACCAGAAAATGATTCATTTTTATGCCTATTGTTTGTTAGCAATCTCCTATCCATGCCAGTGTTACCTCAGACAATGAGTTTTTATTAGCTGTAAGAACCTTTTGTGACAGCTTATCAAATGCCTTCAGAAAATCCAAATACAGTACATCCACTCATTCTGTTTGTGTTGACAATAAATTGGTTAACATGATTTCTCTCTTACAAAGCCATGTTGACTCCCTGATTAACTTAGATCAAAGTGCCCTGTTACGATCTCTTTAACTTCTAATATTTTTCTCTATGATGGATGAGCCAGCCTTTAGTTTCCTCCTTTATTTTTAGTCTTTTTTTTGAATAAACTAATTATGGTAAAATTCACAATAAGATCTGAAAAATTTTGGGAAAGCTGAGAGATTATGTAAATAGCAGGCTTTAATTTGAACTAATTATGTTACATTGCAAGGGGCACTGCCAATAAATAGATGCATGGATGTGCATGTTTGCAGCTTCTGCTCCCAGGGCTGCTCAGAAGTTCTTGAAGCAGAAGTAAAAAATATGCCAGTTTTATATTGTGCAGAACACTGATGTAACTGCATTTTCATGTCTTCAGGATACTTAGTCCTTTGTGGAGTGAGGTGCTCCTTTTGTAGTTCATTCTTTCTTCGAACAATGATAACTGGGTCTTGCTTTGGACTTGACCCCCTGCTAAATAAATGGAAAGTAGCAAAGGCAATATTATTAAGTCTAGGAGCTCTTAATCTAGACTCAATTTTATTTTGCTCCTTTCTTGAAGACACACTAACTCTTGCCATGATTCAAGGCCTTGACTTGCATATGAAAAGTTGTTACTTGAGCTCTATATTGATGAGTTCCTGAAAACCAGGGAAAATTCCTGCTGAGCCCTCTATCTACAGGGGCTGCTGGATAAAAATCAGCTGATTAATTTAGATAGCTTTTTCCCATCCTGCTTCATCCCTGTGGAGCAACTGCAAGAGAGCAGATCAGGCCTTTTTAAAAAAGAAAATGGTCGGAGCTATCTCGTGCCTTCCACGTCCTTGGTATCCCAAAATGCTTCATACAGAGTCGGGCAGCCTGGAAACAGACCCTTTGGTCCAACTTGTCCATGCCACCAGACATCTCACTCTGACCTAGTCGCATTTGCCAGTTTTGGCCCATGTTCCCCTTGACTCTTCCTATTCATAGACCCATCTAGCTGCCTTTTAAATGTTTGTAATGGTGCCTGTTTCTACCACTTCCTCTGGCAGCTTGTTCCATACACAGCACCCTCTGTGTGAAAAAGTTGCCCCTTTGTCCTCTCTCACCTTTAAAGCTATGCCCTCTCGTTTTGGACTCCCTCACCTGAGGGGAAAAAGACCTTGGCTATTCATCCTATCCATGACCCTCGTTTATAAACCTCTAAGTTATCTGTCAGCTTCCGAATCTCCATGGAAAGTAGCCCCCTCCTATTCAGTCACTCCCTGTAACTGAAACTTTCCAGTCCCGGCAGCATCCTTGTAAATCTTTTCTGCACCCTCTCGAATTTAACAACGTCCTTCCTATAGAAGGGCAACCAGGATTGTACACAGTACTCCAAAAGTGGCCTCACCAATGTGCTGTCCAGCTGCAACATCATGTCCCAAATCCTATACTCAATGTCCTGACCAATGTAGCTGAGCTTGCAAAACCCCTTCTTTCCCACACTGTCCATTTGTGATTCCACTTTCAAGGAACTATGCACCTACACCCCTAGATCTCTTTGTTTGGCAACACTCCCTGCAAACTTACCATTAACTGTATAAGTCCTGCTCTGGTTTGCCTTATTAAACTGCAACACCTCATGTTTATCTAAATTAAACTCATTTGCCACTTCTTGTACCACTGGCCCATCTGTTCAAGGTCTTACTTTACTCTGATGCCATGACTTGCATCCAGAACACCACCACTGCTGTGTGAACAAACATTGATACCATTTTGTGAGTAGCAAGACCCCAAAAACAGCAATTTCTGATATGCAACACACTTCTCCTGGGCCTGGCTAATATGGTCATTCATAGGTCAAGACTGGAGATGGTCCGTGGGAGATGCTGGCTCTATTCCATTGACTTATCTACAGCTAGGGAGCCAGGAGATGGAACAAGCAGTGCCCACTGGTAAGCTTGAGGCATTCTGTGACGAGTGGGTATGGTAGGTAGTGCACACTGAGCATTGTTATCATTCAGTTTTGAGTTTTTCTTATGGTGTTGTTCCATTTTTAACTCAGCTCTCTTTCAAAGTGAGCACTTGTACTCAGTTGTGGAATAGTTTATTTAAAAACATACCCTATCTCACTCCACAAATCAAGTGATCTTATGATGAATGTGTTTCCTGTATGCTTCCTATCGCTTACATTGATCACTCTCTCACTGACAAGACTAATCTTGCTGACTAGAACATAGGAAAATTCCTAACGCTTCTTTTTGTTGTGAGGGGTGTGATGACATTACAATTTTCTTCACTTCTTGCTTGAAGACACTGACTCATGTA